TCTGTATTCTTGCAGAAATTTAACCGCAGCTTTTTCTTTTCTGACAAACTCCATAAACTCATATTTTAAAACTAAGTTTAAGGCAAAAAATATCACATTTTATTTATAAAAACCGTTGGAATTTGAAATAAAATAGAAAAGAACGCATACGAAAATGGCAGCGTTGCTTGACTGAAGGATTGTTATGATCCTAGTAGCCGGAAGAATAGTTATGCACAAAGTTGCCAGAGTTTGGCACATTCCGAAAATTTGACGACTTCTACTAAGGTGGTTGCATTAATACGTAAGTAGCGAAGAATGAAATGTTTTTAGATTATATAAAAGAGCTGATTTCTTATCATCGGACCCATGGTTAATGAATAATGAGTAAGCATTTTAGAGACAATATTTTTTGTTTTAACAATATTTTTTGTTATGTTTGTAACAACTTTTGTTTTATTTATATATATTTCATTTAAGATCAGTCGGCCTAGGTTTTGAGTTATATCATTAATATACATTACTATTTTTTATTTTTACTGTATATTTTTATATTTTTACTTTTCAGATCAAATTTTAATTTATTATTTTTTCATATGTTGGATTGTTTCTTTTTTATATCTTATGTTTTTTAAACCTGGTCAATTTAAATTGAAAATAATTATTAATAGATTTTTATGCTTTTTTGCTTGCTTGTGATTTTGGTGCTATAAGTGCTTTTAAAAAATATCTGATGTGGACACAACATGACTTCCTTTTATGGCCTATTAAGTTACACACATTTTTTGCTGCATTTCATTTAAACTAATTTCCTCGAATTTCATTACAGATATATTTCTCATTCAATTAATTCAGTTCTCACTTCACGGCAGAGCAAAAACACATAAAAACTCGAAACATCTTTATTAAATTTGTAAAATATAGAAAAATGTAAAACACCAAATACAATTAAAAAACAATTTTTCCAATTCAAATTAGAGTTTCTGCGTAAAAGCAAGCAACTCAGCCAGCGGGCAAGAAGCAAATTTTTCGGCAAACAAAACTGAAAGTTTACTTTTGGTCACACACGGCAAAAAGACATTCAAATTGCCGCACAAACTGACTGAATTCACTACTCTACCGAGTTTCAAATGTAAATAAATGGCAGTTCGTTAGGCTTAGCTCGCCACTTGATAATTCTACAACTATTGCATGCAGATTAAATTAAAGACATAAAAAAGTTATCCGCAACATAAAAATCACATAATTCAAACACATTTAAAGCAAAAAACGCACAATTTACCAACATATAAGAATAAAAAAAACTAAACTCACCCAGCCAGGTAATAAAGTTGGATATATATATATATATATATATAAAGGGCTCCCACTAAAGTCCGGTACTACCCGTTTAACTGCCGAACGGTAGCAGCTTTATTCATAAAATTTGTGTTTAGGTATAGTAAAGTGGCTATGCGCTAATGGGTGAGATAGCTTACAGCACCACCTGGTGAAAAACGGCGGAGTTAGCCTCCCTAGCTCGAAAACGATGCGAGATAGGAAGGAAAGGTGAATTACAAAGTTGTACAGCATTGTCGATTTAATACGAGTAGACATGTTGCGGATATGAAACTAAAAACAAAACGCTGAAAACGCACATTTGTTTTTTCGCGATTTCCGAAGTTGTGACGTCACGAAACTTGAACGAAAGGAGAAAAGATTATCTTTCGGATGAAAAACATGACTGTATCGCGGCACAGTGATGTCGCTTGTAATTCACAGTCGACAGGACTGTAGTTCAAACCCCGCGGGGTGAATCCTTGTACTGATTGTTTTTACAAACAGAGTAGGCAACATACAGATCGTGCACAATCGTGTAGCAAACGCATCAACTCAATGCAGCTTGAGCTTGGTGTGCGAATTTTCACGCTCTCTCTGAGCTCGTAGTCTGCTGTTACGCCCCCTCCTACTAAGCCCCCCCTTTTAAGGGAATTAGCTGATCCAGTTGCCAAATCATGGTAGTGATGAATTCGGGGGCTATTTGCAGAGTTCTTTTTAGCTTTATTATTAAGCATCATTTTCTTCGTCATATAGAATTCAACAGCAGAATTACAAAAATTTTAAAAGCAGTATAGTAATATACGTGTAGAATTCTCGATGCAGCGTTAAGTGTTGGCACACATTTTTACGGTTGTTATGATTAGAAACTCTAATCTTAATCGTAAAAACTGTTTTTTTAATTGTTTTTAACTGCATTTGCTGTTTTAGGTTTTTCTGTGTTTTACAATTTTTAATGAAGATTGAATTTTTATGTATTTTGCCTAGCTGCGAAGTGAGAACTATATTTGATTGAATGAGAAATATATCTCTAGTGAAATTCGAGAAAATTAACGAAGTGCCGCAAATGTGTACAATTTAATAGGCCGTACAACGAAGTCATGTGGTGTGGACATCAGGTTTTTTAAAAGAATGACTTACGCGGTGTGACATTGCCACGACTGACGGGAACAGTTCTTTCAAGAAGCTCAAAACCTACGCTTTTAGTGATTATTTCCACACTCAGTTTAGGAAGTTGCTCACAATAATTGTTTGTTGCAGTTGTTTTGCAACAACTGTGAAAGCTCAAAGAAAGTGATCCTTTGCAATCTTCCCAAACAAAGTTAATTAAATGAATGCCATCTCTTGGCATGCGCTCTGCGTGGATTTCACATGCTTGGTTTCAACCCTTTTTACTTGTAACTTGTACGAAGTAAAAAGGAAGTATTGTAATCGCGAAAATTTCAGGCAGCATATTTCAACGAAAATATCCACTTTGACCGCTTTCGAATGCAATTTAAGGATGTTTTTGCGTGATATCTGTACGTAAGGACAGAACAAAAGACTCGTTTCCTCCAAAAAAATTATAAAACTGCTTTAAAATTAATTCTGAAGAGAATTTTTCGTGCCGTCTGTACGTAAGTGCGTACGTACGTATCTCGCATAACTCAAAAACGAGTAGCCTCAGAACGTTGAAATTTTGTATATAGGACTGCTATAACATGGAGATGTGCACCTCGTATTTTGGTTGCAATCGGCCGCACCAAACGTATATAAATATATTTATATATATATCCACTCTGTTACCCGGCTCAGTGATCTCAGTTTCTTTACTCTTATATGTTTGTAAATTGTACATTTTTTGCTTTAAAAATGATTGAATTATGTTGTTTTTATCTTCCGGTTAAGGTTTTTATGCCTTTAGTAAATGTGTATGCAATATTTTTAGAATTATCAACAACTTTAAAAAGTTGTTTAAGTGCCGCTAAGCCTAATTATTTTTGAATATGGCGGCCATTGCTCTTGTTTACATTTGAAACTTAGCTGAGATAGTGGATTTGTTGCCAATCTAGAGAAACTAAGCTTCGCAACAACAAAGATAACGCCTTCATTTATTATCGGGAATTAAATCATGCTTAATCCTTTCTGGAAATTTTTTTCGAGGAAATAAGTGTTTAAGATTTACTTCGTAATTTTTAATGTACAGATATTTTGATGTTTTTATGTATTTTTGCCTTGTCGCGAAGTGAGAACTGAATTAATTGAATGAGAAATACTCAATCGTCTGTGAAAAACTTGTTTCTTTTTTGTTTTGTTTGCTTAATTTCTTTTATACATCGCTCTAGCTTTATTATAGTATTTGAATAGAATATGTGGCAACGATTAGATAATTCTATTCTTTAAATGATATAAATTTTGTGCATTATGAGTTATAATATGAACGAAATATAATACTGTTAAGTGAATCTAGTGCCAGAGTGTCGCTATGGTAAACAAATACTAGAGTGAATTATAAAGAATGCATTTATTCTATTGTGGTTTATGCGCTGTCGGCGAAGTAGATTTAATTCAATCCAATAAGTTTAAATGAAATGCAAGAAAATCCAATAAGTTTAAATTCAATCCAATAAGTTTAAATGAAATGCAAGAAAAGTGCGTAAAATTTAATATTCCGTACAAGGAAATCATGTGGTGTACACATCAAATTTTTTATTGTATGCTTTTGTACACGATCCACCTTTTGCTGCTCATTAAGAATAATTATAAAAATAGCTCTTTTCCATGCCGATTGAGCAGAAAAAAGAACAAACGCAATCCAGCCTATTTTTTCCCTTCAGACAATGCGGCAGTTAAATATAGAACTTAGAAATAAATCACGCTTTCTACAAATGCAGCATGAAGACAAATTGTCAATCTTAAGTCTTTAAGAAATCTTGTCAGTTGTAATTCTAGGATTATTTTTCAAGATGGATTATTTTTTAGCTCTCAAGACGTCGCCATTTCTGCAAGTAGGCTATTCCAAACAGGGCTTATTATCTAAGTTAATATTATTAGTTCTAAATCGTCCAAACCAGATTTTTACTACTATGTTAAGAAAAGAAGCACATTCCAAATGTGCCTCATATTTTCTTGTTCAGAATCTAAAAGAAACAGGCCGAGATCATTGCCATTTATTACTCATTAAGGTAGATTAAGGAAAGTTTTCAGGAGCCTTATAAATTTTGTTTATACAAGATACTGCCTCTTCTCTGCAGGACTTGGGAAGCCCAGAGGACAATAATATTTTGATTAGGGACATAGAAATTTAATTTCAGAGTTGACTAGATTATATGATATCTCCATTTGTTGGGCCAAAGAACATGTGGGCATATTTGGCAATGAAAGCTCTGACAGGAACTGACTTTCCAAAGAGCCTCAGGTCCACGGCTTTAAAAAAAAAAGGTATTCGAATCATTAGGAAATATCTGTTTAACCAAAAATAAGTCAGAAAATTCAGAAGGGGTATTTATTTTATCAAATATTGTTATTTTTTAAAAATTCATATGGTATATTAAGTAATATTGATGTTAAGAACACATTTGCCAAACCAAACAGCTTCGCTGTTAGATGGAAACGTTACGAACAGCTTCCCTGTCTAGATTACGAACAGATTCGCTGTCTAGATGGGCTTTACCTCTTTCCTAGGAAGAAATACAAAAATATCCTATTCTTTTTTCATTTTTTAGGAAGACTTGGAAACGATGATATTTTAGTATTCAATTTAACCGGTGTCCATCCAACAGAATACGTGGAACGTGTGGATTTGCATTTGCAGTCAAAGAATGCTTTCAGACAAGGTGTCCGTCAAGATCTCAAGAAAATAGCTATGGCCATCGAGGTACTGGACTTAAGTCGCCCACTCAGGCCCAAAATAGAGACTATTCCTTTGTCTCGCATGCAGTCTACTGGATGGCAGACACTGGATCTTACGGATAGCATCATTGCTTGTTTGGAAGGTACAAAAAATTTACTTTACTACTTTGATTTAAGTAATCTATGTTACTTTCTTTCTGATGAAATGCTTTTTACATTTAAGGCAGGTTGAATAATAAATTAAAGGCAAATGCAAAAAAGTCAAAAATTAAAAGATTTTAATTATAATTATTTAAATAACTATAATAATAATTTATTATCGCATAACTATTATAACTAATTATTAAGAAATTTCCCTTTTTCCAATGTATATTAATGCATACGTATTTTAGTTCAAGTACACTTTGCACCCTCTCCCCACCAAATTAAAAAAAAAGTTCTGCATCTGGAGCGTTTGACGAAATTTAATTTTCCTTTTCATGTCTCAAAAGCGTAATTAATTAGCTATGAAGCCTGTTTCGCAATTTCAGGATTTCCTTCGATTGACCTTCATGTTTTGAATGACATTAAAGATACCATCAGCAAATTTATGTTCGATACCAAGGTGTTGTTTGAAGATCTTCCACATCCTGCCAATCGTTTGCCAATTCAAACTATCATTTATGACAATTCTGTTGATGATAATTTCCCTGTTGTGTGTTATACAGATGGCAGCAAAATTAATAATCGAGTTGGATTAGCTTATGTCGTTTCTGCCATCAGTGGTTCTGAACTGGAATACGAAACTCTTTAGAATTCTCAATGAATGCAATGTTTTTCCAAGCCGAATTACTGTGCATGCATTAATGAGTCAATTAAGTGGATATTGTTCCAACTAATTGTTCGCTTAAGTTTCTAAATATTCGCACTTCGCAATGATTTTCTTTCATACCTTATTTTCTCTTAGGAACATCTTCTCATGTAATAAATTAATTGTGACTTCCCATGCCCTCTTCTTTAAAGACCTTAATAATAAAGGTGTTCATGTTATCTTTTCTCATGTACGTGGCCACACTGGCAATCTAGGAAATGAAAGAGGCTGATGGGTTGGCAAAACAAAGCTACACATCTTCAAGTAATTACTCCAAGTGATACTGCCTAAGTCATTTTTCAAGGAAGAACAAAAGTAGGGATGATACAATACTCGAAGTGGAATGAACTTATACAGAGAATTCTACTACTGCCTCCTTTGACTAAACTTATATTTTCCTTCCATTCCTCACAGACTGAATAATAAACATTTTTTCTGCAATTTTGAAGTTACTCAATTTCTAACTGGACATGGTAAATTCAATTCATATCTGAAGAGATTTAGATTATCTAGTACAGACTTGTGTTCATGCAGTTTCGGGGGAGTGCAAAATATCGAACATTTGTTGTTCTATTGTTCAAAGCTCAAGAGGAAGGACGAAAGGAACTCATTTCCAGGTTAAACTCTGTGAATATTACATTTCCTCCCCCTCTTCACGTATTTGTTCAACATAAAATGGCTTTCTCTTTCTTCTGTAAATTTATCTCTTACGTATCATCTGTGAATTTGTAAGTTTATTTTATTTTGTGTTGTGTTGTTGTATTTGTTTGTTTTTTTGTTTTTTACTTACTTCTGTAAGCCTTGTGTTAATACTACGTGGTGCACAAGGATTTAAAATTTTCAATTAAAAAAAAAGCGTAATTTAGGATATATATAAGATTTTTATATAATACTGTTTTAACAGATAAGAAGTCGTCAACGAGGCTAGAAGAAAGTACGATTGTACTATCTTACATTTTTACCTTGTTGTTTTCATATATTACAAAAAACTTGGTGGAATTCATGTCTTCTTAATGATGAGTTGGATACACATCTTGATTTCTATACTTCATTGTTTTAACAGAGATATTTTGACCCCAAACCGGACTGTTTCTGTAATGGTATATAGGTTTCTTCCATATTTCGATTCTATGACTCAAATTATGTCCAAATATTAAATTTTGTAAAATTTCGTGAGAAATTTAAAAATTTATCTTGGCGCACTAATAATAATTAATTTAAGGAAACTCTTAATTTATAGCAACTTCTTTCTCTTTCCCACTTTTCATTGTACATGAGCGGAAAGAAAAGGTGCATCTTTCATTCTTTCAAATAATTTTACATACAAGTAAATACAAATAATACAAATAATTTTACATTACAAGTGCGTAAACCATCACATTTCGTATTATTATCGCTTGCAAAATATATGCCAAATTTCAAAAGGCGCCAATATATAAATTCACATATATATTTGGAAGTTTTGAATAAAAAATTCTAATTTTTTGAAGGTATGTCTAGAAATATATCCACTTTAAGATTACGGTAAAAATTTTAAGGTTTATAATTCAAAATGTTTTTTTCACAAAATTTATAAAAATTATTAAAAAATGCAAATTTTAAAAACAAAATCAGAGAATAGCTGCGAATTTTATTTGTACACCTAAATTTCGAATTTTGAAGTAATTTTAATCAAGTAATTTTAATATAAAAAAGAGATATCAATAAATATATACTAAATTCAATTAACACTGAAAAGCTAAAATTTTGAGAGCTAATTTTTTAAAATCTATACTCGTGCGATTTTTACAAAACTTTGGCATAATTTGAATCGCAGAATGAAAATATTGAAAATAATAGGTATGCCATTTCATAAAAAGGTCCGATGTGTTAGAACACCTATGTTAGAACAATTGCTGTATATAAATCTAATATGTATCTTAAGTTTCGAGACATGAAAAGTGCAATTTAAATTTCCTTAATCGGCCCAGTAGTATGGGAGATATAGAACTGTCCCCCCTTATGTTACCCCGTGCAAGGTGCATGCAATGATTATTAACGATAGTATTATTATCATAACAATAATTATAATATTAGAATTCATTTAAATGAAACTATGCAATTAAAAAAATTCGAAAATTTTCTGATTTTATCCGTCCAAAGGGGGCCTTTTCTTTAATGTTTTGTGTGTTACTTTTATTTATTAAATATCATATCCTTCGCACTTAAATCATAAAATTCCATTCAAATCCAGTATCACAAAATAATTTTAAAAGAGCATGTCTTTAGAATTTCCGATACACAGTTTCGCGCACTAGAGATAAATACTATATATTTTTGTTTCCGTACAGTGTTACCATTGCTCGCTTTGAAATCGTTGAGTTTGTTAAAAAATTTGTTAAACTATTACAAAATATGAAACCGATAGTAAAACATATTCCAAATTCCAACTTGCCGGATGCCCATATTCGGTGGAAGACAACGTTATTCAGAATTTGATGGCTCTAGGTACCATTGTTTTATTACAATGCGAGAAACATATTTATTCAGATTTTTCATTATTTAATTTCTTTAAATATAACACAGGGCGATAATAGTTGGTGGCAACAGTTTGAACAGTGATATGGACATTTACAGTGAATCGACGCAAAATGCCAAAAACGAAGCTTCTTTGGGCTAAAAATACAGTAATTAATTTTATATAATTAACACTTGCTATAAAATAATAGTTATTTACTACATTTTTTATTTTAAAATTATGCATACATAGCAAAATTAAGCTTTGAAAACACTCATGTTTTTACCAATATATATATAAATATAATAAATGTCCAAAATTAAACACAATGTAATCAAACAGTTAATTACAAATGACGATCAGCATATTTATTATCTTAGATTACTTAAAAGTAATTTTCTGCCTGTTTAAATCTCTGCTCTTTGAATGCCATGAAAATACACAAGGAAAATATAAGAACGGGAGTATCTCTGCTACATGATTCGTGCCCATCCACCCTACTTCATGAATAAAATAGTTCGAAATGGCGCATATGTGCTTGTGCATTTGGAAAAATTTTTGTATCGTTCTTCCTTCTAAGACGGCGAATATAAAAATAACATTGAACATCTCGATAATGAAACATGCTTCATTCTGCACCAAACGCAGGGAAAATGTTTGCAGTTCATTTCGCTCTAGTTAAGAGTATTCAACATAAAAGTCTGCAAAAAATGAAAATTGTTTCTAAAACAAAAACAAGCAGCCTATAATTATCATCACAACTGTAATAATATACCTTGAGTATATCTAAAATATATCTCAGTGACTCGAAAAAAATTAAAGATTAAAGATATAAACTTATGAAAACGCGTACGACGTGAGAATTTGACATAGTAAAGTTTCCACCATGAGCAGAAACACGCATGCGCGAGGTTAAATTTTTACAGAGTGCTTTGACGGAAACTGTGCTATTCATTATTTGCTTCATTTGTGAAACCGTAGAATTTGTTAAAGTTTAGAATATTTTAGGAATTTTCATTGTTTCAGCTTTTTAAAATTAACTAAAATGTAAGAACTCACTGCTGCTCTCTATGTGTATGTTACGGTGAAACACCGAAATCTGGAGAATGGCGACTTTGCACCGGTGAATGTCAACATTCACATAGTCGCTTGGTGTATGTCCGAAATATTTTCCAAATACTCTTATTTCTGACCGGTCAATGTCGACATTCACCATGTACTAATGGTGAATGTTGAACATATAACAATATTATATTTTCTTCTCCGTAATTCAGTCGCGAATAAACGCACTCGAGACTCGAAATAAGAACTTGAGAACATGAGAACCTAAAACACACAATACATTCAAAATGAGAAAGGAAAGTAATAGAAGTTAAAAACTTACTTAATTATACAGTACCTTCTAAATGAGAAAAATAAAATAACAGTCATAAAAAACTTACTAAATTATGGGATTCAAATTTTATTTATTGCAACAACTTAAACTATTATGGCACTTTTATGACCTCTCTTTTCGACTTTCACCAGAGCGTATCTGTGATTGTCAACATACACCGGTGAGAGTCCGAATATACAAGAATGTAGTGAAATATTCGATCTTTCACCGACGTATTTGGTGAATGTTGATATTCTCAGGTGAAAGTCGACATTCTCTAATTTCGGTCTTTCACGGTAACATACTATACACCTTATACACAAAAGTCCTTAGCTGGCCTTTTTGCAATCGTTGGTCGTAGACATACACTTCCAGTTACAAAAATGTTTTTAGTGATACTGGCAGAAAGAAAAAAAATAATTATTTTTTGTGCACCGTAAATTTTAGTGACTTTTGGTTCCACTGGGCAAAAAGAGACTGAAATCGGTGCGCCAACTGACTCAAATAACTATACTACTAAAAGTTTCAGATGTAAACTAATAGCCTTCACATTACGTCTAGCGTCACTTAAACTTTTAAATTGTTATTAATTCTACAACTATTCATGCAGATTAACTAAAGGCATAAAAACCTTAACCAGAAGATAACAACAACATAATTCAATCACTTTTAAAGCAAAAAATGCACAATTTACCAACATATAAGAATAAAGCAACCGAGGTCACCGAATATATAAGTATCACCCGATGGCAGCAAAAAATGGAGATGCACAACTAGATGTTATAACAATTCCATGTACAAAACTTCAATCGTTTTTGAGTTATGCGAGATACATACATACACTTGTATACGTATCACAGATACGTGTATACGTATTGAAAATCATCACGAAAAACTTCCTTTTGAATCCACTTTTAAATCCATTTTATAATCCGTTTCGGAAAAAGGAGTTCCTTTGTTCTCTCCGTACGTATAGATGTAAAAAAAAAAAAACACTACCTCATACGGATTCGAGAGCAATCAAAATGGAGATTTTCGATGAAATATGGTACCCGAAATTTTTAGCAATTACAGTACTTCTTTACTTTACAGGAAAGTATAAAAGAAGGAGTTTAAACATTCATGCAACAGAAATTAACCGAAATATTTAATTTAAAAATTTTAAATATTTGAAATTAAATATTTTTATCATTTTCCACCGCCTTCAGGAGTCGTATAATACATAAATTGGAATAAATAATAATACATAAATTAGCTAATTAGAATAATTAATGAAGTAACAATACACAAATTAGAATAAATGTATGTTCATTTTTTTGCTTTTAAATGCCATTCAGTGACCTATTTTGTGATTTACCAGCGCGTAACATTTTTAATTTATAATTTTTTACAACTGGTACGCTGAAAGAATTTTTCCTCATGTAGTTTATGCGTTTTCAAACGTTAAAAATATGTCAGTAAACTCTCATAAAGTTTTATTACTTTAGAACTCTAATCTAATAATGATATAAAAAAATTCATTAAACCAGAAATATTTTTAAAGTATTAACATAGGAAACTTTTAGAAAATTGATATTTTATTTTTTAATGCGTTCAAATGAAACATAACTCGTTCTTCTCTTTATGTAATAGGAATACGATTGCCAACTTAAAAATGAAATATCTCGATCAATTTGTATCGCACATTTTGTATTTTGTTTTTTATAATGCATTTTATTAAATATAAATATAAGGTAAAGAAACGTAAAAAAAAAGGTTTTTATAATTTAAAAAATATTAAATTAAAAAAACTAAAAAGACGCATGAACATTTGGGTCATTTTAAAATTGTTAGCCCAAAGGGTATTAACGCAGAAGGGCTTTTAATTTCGTTTTGGCATTTTGCGTTGAAAACTTTAAATGTCGGTTCACTTTTCAAACTGTTGCCCCCAAATATTACAGCCCTGTATTATATTTAAAGAAATTAAATAAGGATGAATCTGCATAAATGTATGTTTCTCGCATTGTGATAAAACGACGGTACCTAGAACCATCAGATGCTGATTAACGTATGTTTCCCCCCCCCCCCGAATATGGGCATCTAGGAAGCTCGAATTCGGAATCTGTTTTATTATCTATTTCATATTTTGTTAAACTTTAACTAATTTTTTATTGACAATTTCAACGATTTCAAAGCGAGCAATGGCAACACTGTACGGGGGGGGGAAACATTTTTACCTCCAGCATGCGAGACAGTGTATCGGAAATTCTAAAGATAGGCACATTTTAAAATTATTTTGCGATATTGCTGTTGAACTGAATTTTATGGCTTAAGTGCGAAGAACATGACATTTAATCAATAAAGGTAACCTACAAAACGCTAAAAAAAAGGCCCTTTGTAATCTGAATGTAAAATCTGAAAGCTTTTAGATTTTGTTTTTTTCGGTAAGTGGAATTATACGAAAATCTGTTGTGAAAATAAAAGCCGAGTGAGAACTTAAATGGAATCGGGGAATATGCAGTGCAGCACATAAGGCATATTATCATTATTTTTATTTAATATTTTCAATAACAGAAGTTGCATAGCTTATCAGACTTTACCATAGTTAATGTATATTATAGTATCACAGATAAATAGAACATTTTTCACATCAACACACATTAAATAAAGCATTTGATGACATGAGCAGTCTTACTTTAACCCTGAACACCTGGAGTCTACCTGTAACTCCACATGATAATTTTTAAGGAATGTATTATTTTGGCAATACATCTGAATGACGATTAGTTTAAATCTAATTTGGATCATTTTACTCTTAAATAAGGTTTTTACTTATCTCACAGTTCAAAACAAGTGTAGTATGAAAGAAATGGTAAACTAAGACACAATAACACGCCGAATAAATACTAATTCAGAAGTCAAACAACAAAAATTAGCGTATATTTTCAAAATTTTCACAGGACTAGTTTCGATGGTTTTACCGAACCACCATCCTCAGCTGCAAAACCGCAAATGAACAAGATAGGAAATAATGATTAGATAAGATAAGAAAGCCTGGACAAGAATAAGCAAGTGGCGCCATCTGTTGGTGAAACCAGAACTAAAACATAATTTCTTTAAAGGCCGAAGGCAAAGATGGATTGGAATTAGGATCGTTAACAAGAGCAGAAAGATTTTTTTTTAATATGAAATGCCTCTAGAAAATCCAGTTCTCCAATGGAAGATGTTTTTTGAATATATGATGTTTTTTGTTCTCATCTCAACACACCTAAGGCACACTCTTGTTTTAGGAGATTATAAAAATTCTGTTGTCATTCCCTTCTTCCCATCAATTAGCTATAAAGTTGCACATATTTTGCAGAAATTTAACTTTTGGGTTGTTTATTCTCCCAACAATAAAATTCCGAGTTCCATACTCAAGGACCCCATTCCGGATATGTATTCTTGGGGCATTTATAGGATTCCTTGCCAGTGTGCTTTAATTTACATTGGCCAAACTAAGAGAGCCTTAAAATTTCGCATCAAGGAACATGAGGCATATGTTAGATAAAAAGGAAACACAGAAGTCTTCTGTTGCTCAACATTGTTGGTCCGAAAATCACAGTTTCAATTTTTCGGCTGCCAAAATTATTCAAAAAACATCTTCCATTGGAGAACTGGATTTTCTAGAGGCATTTCACATTAAAAAAAAATCTTTCTGTTCTTGTTAACGATCCTAATTCCAATCCATCTTTGCTTTAGGCCTTTAAAAAAATTATGTTTTAGTTCTGGTTTCACCAACAGATGGCGCCACTTGCTTATTCTTGTTCAGGCTTTTTTATCTTATCTAATCATCTTGTTCATTTGCGGTTTTGCAGCTGTGGGTGGTGGTTCGGTAAAAGCATCGAAACTAGTCCTGTGAAAATTTTGAAAATATAACGCTGATTTTTGTTGTTTGACTTCTGAAATGGTAAACTGTTTGCTTTCTTATATCTTTATACTCTATCAGGCGAAGCTGAACAACATCATCTGGTGGGTATTGCTGTGAAAGGCCCAGAAAATGTGGACATAGATGAAATGCTTTCCCAACCTTTTCTGGTGCTTTTTTCTGAAGACGATGATCATTTGGATATTCAAGAACTGGACAGAGGAAGAAAGGACGCCCGTCTTAAAAGAGAGGTTCTGTTTCATTAACTCTTTTAGACTAAGAATGCATATAATGTATTTAAGATCTTTTATAACAGTAGCATGAATGATTAAAAGCATAAGTCTTGTTAAAATTTTAAGAGAATCTCTTACATAAAGCATACGATAACAAAAAGGAGACCCTTTTAAATGAATGTGCCTTCAGCTTTTATACGCAATGGTGCAAAGTTAAAATCATTGTGCATTTCAGAACTGAAACCGAAAGACAATTAAACCAAACCAAATTATTGACGTATTTTGAACCAAAAGACAAATTATCAGACAACTGCTGAGTTGGTGTTAATTAGAAAACAGAGAGGGTTATTTTCCAAGATAAGAAGACTTTCGAGGAAACCTTTCCGATAGAAATCGGCTCACATTCATATCACAATGATGAAAACTACGAAAATGCTTATTCTAGCCCTGCGCCGGGATTCAAACCGGGGGTTCAATTGCCAGTTTTCAGCTATTTTTTCCACTCGACGACAGATGGGTTTCACGCCCAAGAAAAATGCAAATTCGATACCAAAACTAGAAAAGTAGGATAAATATAAAACCAAATTAAGTCTCAGGCAAAAAGATTTCGAAAAGAAATAGTTTCTTGAGGTTTCACTATTGAGAAATTAATGGGCATGTTAAGATTTACCCTTGTAATGTTTTATATATGTATTTTTAACTGATAGTTAATTTTTAATGCTTTCCTATCGCTCTCTTTTCACCCACGTTTTTTCATGCCAGAACGTAAATGAGATAGCGTTTATTTGCGAACATTTATTCAGATTGAGGGAGAAAGAAGTGCCATTTAAGAGAAGATTACGCGAGTTATTTTCCGAGCGTGTTCTGTCTATTTCAGCCCACGTTGTACCGTGTCTGTTAGCGATTTGATTCTGTGGCGTTGCGTGCTTCTAGCCATTTAGCTTGTCTCGCCGGTTTACTACAAACCAGAGCCTTTTCTGTGCATTTAAATTATCCTATGAGCCGTTAAGCTAATCTACTACATTTGAATTAATTCAGCATTAAGTGTTTAAGTTAAGCCAGAAGTGTTGGCTTGTGTAAATCCAAGTAGGGTCATTGTTATTTCTTTGTGTTCAAAATAAAAGGGCTATTTGTAACCTTTCGACTTTTTCTGGCTATACTTTGAGACAAAAGGATTATTTCTTTCAAGAGCTCACTAGTTTACATTAACAAAGGAAGTGAGACTCTGTACACTGAAGATTACGTTATTTGAATATGGAAAACGACGTATTATTGAATATGGAAAAACACGCAATATTGAATATGGAAAAACACGTAACTAGCTTGTACCCACGTTACAAATTGGGAAAATCACGAAAACTAACCATTCAGCCAGTCCGTTCTCCCACAATCGAAGTATCAGTATTCAGCTGTCCTGGTGTATTGGTGTATTTAATTATGGCAAAGCACACTAGGGCTACCTGCCTAAGGGGAGGGATGCCTTCGTGGAGGACTTTCTAAGGGAACTAGCTCGTATACACGTTACACATGGGGGAAAACCCCACGAAAACACCCATGCAGCCAGCCCGTTCGCGGGATTCGAACCTCGGACCGAACTACCAGTGTTCAGCGACTTAACCGCTCGGCCGCTGGTGGGCTATTCAGCTGTAGTGACTTAACCACATTAATACTCCTATGAATTTTCATTTAGGCTACCATGATCGGTATGATGCTTAATGCTACTGGTTGCTGTATCACGGCTTAGACTCAAATCTTGGAGAAGGCCTGGATGTTTAAGCTGAGTTTCTGAATATCTGTCGGGCATGGCAATACATGAAATGCCGGTAACTCAAAGCCCTCTTGAGAGGTTCAGTGGTAGGGTAAATTGGTCTCCATCAAAATTCAGATGGACTTTCCTCGTTCTTGCTGGTGTAAAATCGATTGCTGCTTATGGTTCCATTTGGGGAAGGCTCTGGGTGATAGCAAGTCTAAATGGCTGATGGGTATTGGCTATTTCCGATGAATGCATTAAGTTGCAAGTGTTAGGCCCTTCGAAATAACAACAGCAACATGTTTTCATTTCATGAATGTTTTATGCATAAAGAATTTAAGTAGAACTATATACCATTCCGTCTTTATCGTTTCTGATGGTGGTGGTGGTGGTAGTGGATCTGGTGCAAAACCTTAAAGGTTGTATGCTCCGAAATTGCCAACCATAAATTAGGTTCAAGAATAAGTTATAGCATGAAACAAACTGAAACAACAGCAAATTTATAAAATCAAAAGAGGTGATAAAATGATCAATGCTGAAAAGAATAACACCACGAAACTCAAGTAATTATGTCGCATGCAGAAAAAGACTAAAACCAATAAACATGAGATATATTAAAATACATAGCATTAAAACTTCAAGAAACGATCTCAAAGCAAACTCAAATTAAATAATAAAAACTAGTACAGAAATTTTCTGTGCTAGGTTTCTGTACTAGTTTCAAATACAGAAATAAATTGGCACTGACCTCTCCAGATTATACGGTCAAGAAGCGAGTCACACTCGTTAAATTACTTCAAGCGAAGATTTTTAAAATATGGAAGCTCAAATAAAAGGTGGTGCACTGATATACAACAGCATAATAGTTGGGGCAAACAGGCTCGCTCTCCGCTTTTAATAGGTAACAGTGAGTATTTAGAGAGTGACCGATTTTAAAATATGGTAACAAGACATCCTTCTTCCGATTAACGGTAGCTTCCCAACATTCCACTTCAGGTTTGACTCTTCTTATTATCTCGGCAAAAATTCAAGAACTTCTGCCATTTCACCGGGACCTTTTGCCTGATGACTCTACTGATGTCACTAAAAGTGACGAGTCGATCCGACAAATGAAAGCAGACATTTCTGTCAAGTCTGCCACCTCGTTCCCTTTTATGCTTATATACCTAGGAAACCAGCAGGAAAGGATGTCATACCTACAGCTCTTTAATTTAAGATTCAAACTTAAGATGTCAACAATGACGGGATTTTGAGTATTATGATTCTAAAGATTTTAAAGCACTGAAACAGTCTGTGTATATTATAAACTTTCATCGGCGTAACTTAGAAATACACGAAAATGCATAATGTATAGCAATTTAATTCTGAAGTGAGGATTGAGGTGTTATGTAGTCTTATACGCTTAATGTGGTCTTCAATAACAAATGATGCACCAACATGTCCTATTGCTTTCAATCCATTCATAAATATGGGAATATGACTAGTGCATTAGCGTCTATACTGAATAAAAAGTTGTCTGTGTGCAAGCTCGTTAGTATTTCTTTTGCCAAGATGTTGGTATTTAGTGGACTGCATTCTGCAGACTTGCTTTCGTACATCTTCAGTAGAACTAAACAAAATCTCAAACCTTGACCGAAATTCTTTTTTTTTTTTTTTTTGCTTCTTACAGATATCACGTAGGCTACTCACCAAACACGGCAAAAACTCGAATTGCAACTTACTACATAAAAGCTTTCCTCAAAAGCTTCCCTCTGTCATTCGAACTCCAGTAACTAGCAACTAATTCGAACTCCAGTAACCAGTAACTAGCAACCAAGACGGTATAGTTGATAGGGGAGCCTACTGTGGTATCGAAGGGCCCGGTTTGAATCCTGGAGAAGGCATAGATGTTTGTAAATGTATAGTGTCCGTGTGGTCATTAACATACAAAGACCCTGAAACCATTGGAGGAGGTTCTTTTAGAACAGAGTTTATTTTTAAGCTGAACAAAGTAAGGTATGTTCTTGCGTTCAGTATACAGCCTTGAGACACATCCTTCTCTACAGAAAATACATCTGACATTACAGAGCCAATCCTCACTTAAAAATTCCTAGCCTTCAAGACATTTTTACAGAAATTGGCAAGTTGCCGCGTAAGCCACTAGTGTGAAGACCAAAATCCCATGTCTTACGTTCCTTGTCGTAAGCTTCTCTATGTGAAAAAAAGATGGAGACTAGATTTTTTTTTTAAAGAAGGCTTTACAGATAGAGGTTTCCAAAAGGAGTATATGATCAATAGTTGCTCCACCTTTACGGAAACCGCTTAGATATGGGAAAATTACGCTATTCTTTTCTAAAAAACTAAAAAACAGAGTAAGCTGCGGTTCACCATTTTTCAAATAGCTTACAAAAGCAACTTGTAAGAGCTATGGACCTGTAGTTGAAGAAATTCTTTGGATTTTTCCCTGGTAGACATTAAGATTTATGAATGAAAATAGCCTTCTTATTCGATACACTGGGAAGGTTATGCTTCTTCCATACTCGATTGAACAAAGCAAGAAGGGCTCTCAATCACTTACAAGAAAGATGCTTCAGAATTTCATAACTGATGCCATCTGGACCCGGGACAGATCTATGTGTCTGTAACAAAGCGCCCCTTAATTCTGTCAGGAAAAATTCCCTATTGTGAGATTTCGAGAAGGTAAAGTTGAATTTAATGGGAATATTTTCGGCACTTAGCTTTGCAGAAAGCAATGATGGACAGTAACTGTGGCCACTAGAGCAAATGTTTCGCAAAAGGTATTCGTAATTTCTTCCGCAGTGCTTGGTTTTTCCCACCAGGATGATGAGTAGTCTTTGTATATTATACATGCTTTTCTAATTCTTTTCCCCACTCGTTTACTGAGGGTTGAGGGTGGTATTCAAGACCCATAGGATACCCAGGTATCCCTCTTACTCTGCCGCCATATAGTTTTTGCGTTTGCTTTGTCTTTTTGCCGTAATTTTCTTGCGTTTGCTTTGGCCTTTGAAGGACTCAAAAGAAAAGATCTTTAATCATTTGCTCTGTTCGTGCATCTCAAGGATTCGTATCCATACTTCCCTAAAAGAGGACTGTGTTCGTTAAAGTTCCCAATAATAGTAAAAGACTCTGGAGCTGTTGTATAAACTCAATCAACTCTTTCTGATCAATAGCTTCATTTGGAGGCATATACATGGAAAGAACAGAAACTAATCATTTTATATTAGACTGTATAACGACCGCTTGAAGGGATGTTGCAAACGAAAAGACA